CATGGCGCATCCCAAAAAGGAACTAATCATTTACCGAATGCTTCATGATTTATCCTTCCCAGTAACCTTCCTCTCAAAGCTAATAACTAGGCTGCACAGGTACTTTGTAAACTAACCTACAACAAGGAGAAAAGGATGCTCCCTCAGCATCATCTTGGGAAAACCAATAAGATCTCCACGCGTCAGCTGAAATGCACCATTTCCGTCATGCGATTTCCATTTCTGCAGCATTCCGACTCTTTCTTCTCGCAAGTTCCATCAGTAACGAGTTCTGCTTTTTCCAAAATTCCTCCCACAAGCTTTGAAGAACTCTGGACCAAAAATGGAAGCTATGTATGTAAACAGCCGACACTCGGTGACGTCTTCTATTCTTCGCATTGCAGTCGTTTTTCTACGAGAATCGATAAGCCCTACTCTCGATATACCAACTCTCATAAATATGCATGCAATCGTTTTTTTTTACCCTTCTTGGAACTGTGGGAAGGATCGTGGGGTAGCGGTGAAGGGTTTCTTTTCAAATCAGGTTCACAAGATCAGCTCCTTTTCTCGGTTAAATTAGAATCCCTCATCAGAATTGAAGTAAGTGAGCCAATTCTGTGCTTGGGAGCCCTAGAGGGAAAGGAGAAGGGCGAAAGTGAGCAACTGGCGTTCCCCCTGGCGTTCCCCTATGCTGGGCTCAACCCTAGCCTCACCTACCGTTGGCCCTGTTTTGAATATCCCCCCCCCGCTCAAGGACATGAGCTTTATGCTCACAGTTTAGCACTTCCTCTTCCTGATACCCGGTCTCTCCATACTCAATTTGTGAATATCATAACCCGTGTTAAAGTAGCTGATAACTCTGTTACCAAGAGAAGGAAACATCAGTGAAAAGGCGTTTTCGGGGAGTCCGTCTCCACCTGCCGTCAACCATTACTCCGTAAGTCTCAGGTAAGGGTCCGCCTACATCTGAGTTTGCGGTTGACATAAACCGCCCATGTTACATAGATAAGAAAACGTTTAGCATGATAAGAAAAATCTTTCGATTCCTCAGGGATACATACCCATTAGATCCTTATAGTTAATATTGATTTATTCTGAATAACCATTACTTTTTGATAATTGTTAAGCTGAAGGAACTCTGACGTCTCACTTTCTACAAAAAAAGTTGATAAGCAACGACAAATGATAAATGCATAACGTAATGGCGTTCAAATCAACGAAAGTGACGACTTTGATATTCAATATGTCCATGATAATTCTTCATGAATAAATTCTTCTAGAATATTATGCATCGTTCCGAGGCACTTCGTTCATTAGGTCAATTACACAACAGCCCCCAGTAGGTTCGAAGAAAAAGCTTTGCGGTAACTGAGCCGTCGAGGGAAATATCGTGTGCGCGGTTGCCCTGATAAGCCGAGTATAAGACTTGGTTGTGTCTTAGTGTCAATAATTGGTGCGATTTGCGGCAAATTCGACATCGCTCTGCAACACCAAAGTTTGCAAAACTTGCGAGTGAGCTTATCACTGCCCTGATCATGAATATCGTAGAACCATTTGGTGCCATTTAGCGCAACTGAGCCCGACATTAGCGTGGAAGTGGGGCTAAAGGACGGTCAGAAAGGACCTGCACCAAAATAGATGTCAGCACACCTAAAAATATCTCTCCAGAAGAATTTCAGCAAGAAAACCACGGAATTCATTGCATTCTGGGGGTTCTACTGGAGCAGGCGCCGCAGGTCAACTGAGCCGTTGTGGCAGATGCAGATTGCACAGTGACTAGGATACTGCAACTTGCACGATCCGAAGGCCTAAAGCAAACCTATGCCAACAAACCTTAACCCTCCAACAGGTAGAATTCGAATGGTGAAGACGTGCGGGTTCGTGTCCCGTGCTGGGCGAGGAAGTTTGCCCATAGTCAACAATTTTCTGTGAAACATCCGCAGACGCCAACTGCGGGCCTTTTACGAAGAGACGGATAACAGAACAAAACAAAATCAAATTGAAAAACTTCGGTGCCAGTTCCAGTAACCTAAAACCTCGCCATGGGCACTCGCAGCCCATATGTGTGTGGCATCAATTTTCATACGAATACGTTCGATACGTGCTGAATTACCGGTCCAAATACGGTCACTGACAGTGTTAAAGTCCCGAAAAACGCTCATGACGGGTAACGATCTAATTTTGTTGGACAACAAATGATCGGCAATGAATCATTTGCTCGAGTTTTTTTTCGCCTCGTTCAGCTTAATGTGCTCCCATTGTCAGTCATCTATCCGGGCTTAATCCTTCACAATGACGAAAAAATGAATGTCAGTTGCCTTGGAGCTGAGAACGGCATGCCGGCCAGCAGGCGGACCAACAGCCCTTGCGCCGTTCGTTCGCACTTTTCAACCGACAAAATCCTCCCCTCTCTCCTCTGGTGTCGTCAATCGATGCTGTTTATTTTTCTCGTTTTATGGCCTATTTCGTATTGACTCTAAAAGGGCGTCTCACTTTCCACTGCTTTATGTTGCTGTTGGCATTTCCTACGTGTATATTTTACTTATTTGTTATTGCTGGACTTAAATCATACAATGAGACTACAAAATCCTCCGAGTTTGAAACAAGGACCCATTAAGGTCTACTCAAACTCCGGCACCTTCTAGGTTTCACGAGTCACTGTACCTCGCGCTTTTTGGGGTTCATATGTCCGACTTTCCCACACCCCACTCTGGCGTGGGGTGGACGCTTGCTTAGAAGCCTTCGGAAAAGTTTCTTTTCTACACGAAATATTATCTTACAAGTAAGTACCATCGACAACATTATATTTTTTCCATAATGCCTCGCTATTCGCAACATACGGGCGAATGATAGTGGTAGGGTACTCAGGAATACGCGTAAAAGAATCATTCTTGTTAAAAGATTCTTAGTATATATTCTGGGTGAGGAGAAAGGCTCCAAGGACGGTGAGCAATTGTTATTTATCCCCGGAAATCCTGCCCGTCCTGAGACGTGGTCTCCATACGGTCCGCCGTTATCTCTTGCCACCAAGCCTTTGTCCTTTAAAGCGCCACAACCAGCAGCATCGTTCGTGTGAACGCTTACTCGTAATCGTGGTAGTATAGAACCCTAGAGGACAATCACAGATGTGGCGTCCTCGTGCACGGAAACCGACCGATAAGAGCGCTTGAGAGCTTGCAAAGTAAGCTGAACCAAGCTGCAGACTTTTTTTTCTTATCAGGCTGTTGTCTGGCGCTCTCTCATCTGTAGTGCTCTCTCGCCTCATACTCTCCTCTCCGCGCATAGTCTCTCATTCCCTTAGCACAGCCGATCAGGAAGGTGAGTGAGCCCTTAACCTAAGCGTTTTTGACGGATTTTTTCCTTTTTTCTTTACTGCCGGCCCACTTCCCACCAATACATTCGCATTCGTGTACAAGAGCCACACCAATGTGACAGGGGTGGCCAAAAAAGAGACACTTTGCCCATGGCGCACATCATCGAACTTTTCGTCGCACAGGGTGCCGATGTTAATGAAAGTTTTACGGCGAATATTCCTTAGGTGTTCCCCCGTAAACAGAAGCAGGCCCTCCTTCACTGCCCCCGCCGTCTTCAGAATATGACGTCATCTGCCGTCACCGTCGAGCTCAACGAGGCTTACCGTAATCGCTCCGGCCTGAAGCTGCTACATAATTTCTTCAATGGATTAACTGTGAATAGCTTCCCAGAGACATTAGCTGTGACTATGCAAAACCGCTTTTGACCAGCGTTTCAGGGACGTCGTAATGGTCTATGGTACCTCGACGACCTCGTTGAGCTCGTACCGTGAACCATGTTTCCGTGGGAAAATCTTCTGATGTCGTCGGTGTAGAAGGCTGTCATGTAAGGTTTAGATAGATTAGAAGGTGCTCTTCAATACTGAGTTGGGGGCAGTCGATTTGATTTTAGCAAAGTGTGATTAATGCTGTCTGAAATGTGGAGTCAAGTGTCTCTTTTTTGGCCACCCCTGTATACAATACAGACGAGGTTTTGTTCAGCTTGAATTGTCCAACAAACAATGGTATTTGATCACTCGTATTTTAAGACGTTTCTCATTCCAGAGCCAAAAAGCTAGTGCCAGTAGATAAAAAGACGCCGACTTAGGAAGAACCCTGAGCCACCGTTCCCTCTATAACCCCCATCGGAAGGTTAGAAGCTGAGCACGACAAGCCATGAACAGGCTGAATTTTCGAATTGAAAAAATACCTAGAAATTAATGAGTGAAAGAGAGAGAGGTAGGCTTAAATATTGAACAAAATGCGATCTACCAGTCCGATCCCACCGATCTAGAGGGGCTTGGCATGATGAGTTAATAAACTGTCATCAGGTCACAAATGCTCCTATTTATCTGAATATGAAGACATGTAGTGTAAGCAGCCAAGAGGGCTGGGGTAGCGCAGTGGATAGAGGCGCTATCTCAGATTCTCCGTCTTGAATCAACAAGCGTACCACTTCTCGTCGGTTGATTGAAGGTCACGGGTTATTTCTGGAATGCCAGAGCAAAAGCTAATTCGTGAAGTGTTCAAGTCAAGGAAGGTAATCCCTAGGAGGTAATTCTTAGAAGCTCAATGCAGACCAGGCAGGGGCTCAAACAGCACTTCCAAACAGGCCTTTACTCTGAGCGGAAGTCGAGTGTGGGGCTCATCCACAGCAGACCGAATCACTACTGGTCCATGCTTCTTTACAGCGCGAAAAACCGAATTCACTTCAAGAGTTCAGTACTGAGAGCTTAGCCCCTTCAAGGTCAGGCCTAACCTTCTTCCCAATTATTCCAACCCAATGTGTGAGTCCGCTAACTTTTAGCCCTGACCTTTTCTGAGATTAGTAATCCCTGCCACTGCTTCCCAACTCAACGTTTATTTGGGATCTTTTTCAGGGTAAACTAGGAGGGATCTGGCTCACTGATGTTATGAATACGAGACAACCCGGAAAAACGTACTTGATAGCCTAAGCAAGCTGAAGAATAGGTTTAACTGAAGCAAATTTTTGAACTGCTCCTGCTGAAAATGATTCGTAAGTTCAGTGAATTATTAAAAATAGAGAGGAGCGCTAACAGGTGATATGCGCCCTTATTAGAGATGTTTTTGAGGAAGTTCCCACGGCAACGGCAACGAAATGAGTGACACTGAAAGTATGGCCAGTTCACTCGTCTATTCCGAGGTAACTCTGTGATTCTCGAGTTTGGTTGCTTGGAAAGCGGTGAGGAGGGCCTTACCAAAGCGCTTAGCGCTGAGGTGATAGTCAACCGCTCTCCTGACCTTCTGTATAGTCCTTCTCTGCATGAAAACTTTCTCTTTTGTTTTTTTCTGATTTTTTGTCATCGTGCGATGTTTCCTGGTGTTCATCATTCAGTGTTATATTCTCCGTTGTTTCTGATTTATCATCGGGCATCGCTGAAAGAATTCCCCGGACAAAAATTGCACTTCAATTAATGTAATCTATATTCAGGGTATGACAATCTTAGATGAGAGGCCGTCCCACTACTCCACACAACAGCTAAAATATCTGCCTGGACACAGCCTTGACAATCCGTCATACAAGCCGAGGCGTGTGCTCGTCAGACATCGTGACGGCAGACTGTTGTCGGGTAAGCTTTTACATCCACAGGGAGCCTGAAAAATGATTTTTCCCTACACATTTGAGACCGTCGACGTATTATGAAACTGAACCAATAGCGCCTGTCGGCGAGATACGTTGTATTGATGAAGGCAAATGCATTTTAGAGCCCTTGATATCCTCCTATACTGTTAAAATAAGCGACTAAGTCATAGGCCGAAAGACATGCGAGTCGCTGCCGATTCGGCTAGCGTTCGGCGGTCGCAGGTGCGGTACCCCTCTTAAGCCAATTGAGTGTATTCACTGAGGCTGCGACGCGAGCCGGCAGACGCTACAGCGAAATCGCACGATGTCGCAAGTGCTGACCATCGGCCAATAGCCCCGACAAACTAACGTTCCTGTTTCATTGTAGGTTACTCCTCCAAGATGTCTCCGTATCTTGCGATAGCCCTCTGAATTATTGCTAGACTCACCAAAGATGTCATTTTCCATCAATATTCAAGGGGCATCTTGATTTCTATCAAGAGACTGTTATAACACGATTTTGGGACACTTCCCGCACAAAACTTTTCAGCTACACACTGCCCACCGCAGGGGGGGGGGGGGCGGGGGGGGGGGGTGAAGATAAGAAGTACCCCTGTCACCCGGAGCATAGTGCAAGGTACATGCTCACAGGGCAGTAAACGAGGGCTTACTTCCGCTTATGGAGGGACGTCTTAAATGTCCGAGATTTGCCGCCTACACTCTAGCAACGGAGGAGCCCTATCCGCGAAAAAGATCGCTGACATGGAACGCAAGCAGAAGATCCTTTCCTGCCCCTACCCCTTGGTGTTCCTTTTTCGGCAAAAAATTCTCTTCTAATAAGTCCTCCGATAGAATATGAACATACCAAAAATATAGAACATATCAATGCGAAAGGATATTACATACTAACTACATATAGAAGTTCACCTACGCGTCATCAAGCAGATGCACCACGATAAATGTCATCAAGAAATTGTGCTTACGGGAGGTTTTCAAAAAATGCTCCGCTCTTTTGTAAACGATTTTTTCGCCAACGGTGTATGACGGCACCGTGACGGGCACCCACACGTATTGTTTCATTTTTTGGGCAAAGACCCCGAATGCCAAAAAGGGTAAAAGCTCAAGCAGCTGGCAAATTCGTGCACCAGTTTTTTTGGGGCGCGGCAAGAACCTACTAACCTAACCTAGGTTACTGATGGACCTATGGTAATTGTAATATGGCATCCATTACTAGGGCAGGGTACCATTTTGCGACGTCGTACAAGCGTCAGTTATATGCAGAACTTTGCCAGCACGGATACGAACCACGGAACCAAACTTCAGGAGATTATTTTTTGAGTGGTCGAACAGAAGGCCGTTCAGGAATAGTGAAGCATATTCTCTATTCCATGCATGTTTCCTTATATCATACAGGAAAAACATTTCGAAAAGTTGGGCATGACTCGAAAATCCTCACCGTTAGCGAGCCAATGGACATAACGGTTAAGATCACGCAGCTCACAAGACATCGTAATGAAATTCTGTCCTACCAAATGTAGCATCAAAAAGCTGATCGTCTTTTGGTTTTTTGTGGGCGTAACTTTTTTCGCGCCGCTCACCCTCCCCCCCACCCCCCTGAACTGGCTTCACTCCCCCTGGCTCACGGGGTCCCGTACTTCGAGAAACCTGTGCGCCAGGGGAGTGTAGGCAGTCTAGGGGGGGGGGGGGTGAGGGCAGCCACTTGATGCCCCCCTTACTGGATGAGCGCCCTTTTTTATCTTTTATGAAAAGACACGAAAGTAAAATGGGGCTTTTTTCCAAAGTGGTTCTGGGTATAGAGTTGGGGATTCGAGAGAATGGCGCAGAGACATGAAATGTCAGAGTGCAAGATTTCAATGGTCAATAGGAAAACAAATGCGCGAAAACAGTTCCGTTAAAACTTTTGACCGTAGCGCCTCTTCTTTTACAGCGCTACCTTCGGTGAAACACCAATTGAACTGCTGTTTTTTTTCGCACTATCTTCTTATAGCGGAGGGTCAAAAGTAATTGACTGCCCTCATGGTTATCCCTTTATGCTCTGCTATTGGAATAAATCTTAGTCTGAACAATCTGAGATGAACAACCAGGATCACCCACGCGCGAAGATCCTCCTACGTGCCAAAGGACGTGCTTGCCTTGTAGGAAAGGAAGGTCGCCTTTGATGGTAGAATCTACTAGAGGAATAAAGTTTGGGGGGGGGGGGTAGGGAAGGGGACAATCCATAATCAGAATATAGCGAAGGGGATCACGATGGAGATGGAGAAGGGATCTGAATTTTTTTGCGCTCGACCGCCAAAATAACCGATACGCAATTCTCTAGCGCCCAAGAATGCGTTTTCACACTGTTCACGGTAAACACTGAATGGCATTTCGAGTACCTAGCTTTTGGGAGCCATTATGAAGGCAAAAACTTATTCCAACAATTTTTTCATGAACAAAAGCCATATGTGCCGCAGAAAATTTAAATCACTGATGCTGAAAATATGAATTTGTGTTTTAAGCTTCAACTCAAAAACTCCGAACCTAAATGACCTGACCATGCTTTGAATAGTGTGAGTCATGGCTGGATTCCCCTGAAGTCCTCATTTTCAGGATGTGGTGGTGACGTGGAGGTGTTCCATCCGATGGAGCTGGAGCGTTCACAAAACACCGGACTACCAATTCGTGGTACTGTGGCGACCGTATTCGGTGGCAAAGATACGGTAATCGGTATCAAAGCGGTCGAAGGAGGAGGTAAGCCGCCGTTCTTTCAGCGTCATTTGGGGCTGTATCCTACCTATCCTTCCCCAGGGAGACGCGTCCCCCGCCGCTGATCCTATCCTATGGTTGGGAGGGGGAGAGAGACGAGGTTGCGTCATAGGACAGAGAAGAGTGCCTCAACAGGAGGAGGGTAGCTACAACACCACGCGCTCAACGGCGGGTCCTATGACGCAAATCTGTCTCCCCAAGCTTGGGATAGAAACAGCGGCGGAGACGCGTCCCCTTGGGGGGAGGGATAGGATATGGCTCTTTAGGTTGCTCTCGCCTGACGATGAGACGATTGTTGTATAACTAGAGCCGTAACTGCACCACCATCACGGGGCCATGGCCAGCGTTACCGTAAACCTTGAAGTGAATATTGCAGATCACTTCCTCGTACACGGCGAACAGTACTGCTGCTTGCTCCATCAGTCGTACCTCGTTGAGGGTGGAGTGGTGCCGGAACATCGGGTGCTTCGGCTGCCGTCTCCAATTCGATCGCTCAACGTCGAACGACATGGAAAGAATGACGTAGGTTTCAGATTTGAACGGCACCCCGAACAGACCAGAAACGGATAACTTGCAATTCAAGAGGCATGAGCAAGTGAGGGGGCGGGGTTTTTCGCGGATGGGCGGAGCTCCCCACTATCACTTTTGTCGTTGTCCATTTCCATGCTGTTTTCAGCTCCTTCTCTCATTTCTTCTCGAAAGTGGAATATTCCACTACAGTCTCAGCACAAACATGGAGGACACGTCCTTCGAATGTTTACAATGCTATCGTTGCACGTGAGTTTCCGAACAGATCGGCAGGTTTCCGAGTTCTTACTTATGCTACCGTAATCTAGGCGTCCAATTCAATCTGGACTACTGTGGCGAGATGGCGGAATTCTTCACGTAGCCTACTATGACGGTTTCATCCGCGTCGGTATCATCATCGAAGAGTACGACGACATGCTGCTTGTTCAGGTTCGATCCCAACACAGCGGCAGAGTGCCAGACGGGAAGATCCACTCATATCCTCTGCGTCTTTGCCCATCGATGGGCCGAATTTCTAACAAAGATGTTTTTAGCGTTTGTCGGTCTCCAAAAACAACGTGAATACACTGTT